TTTTCTGCACAATTTGGCTAAAAACTTTTGTGCTCAAGTCGGCATTTTCACCCTACTTTGATTACCTTAATCAATGCTCATCTTAGAAATGGAATAATTGTTATACAACATTTAACCTCCTCCTATGACCAAAAATTTCAACTAGAAAAGACAATGCGCCAAGTTGAATTATGAAAATGTCTAGGTCATTTACAATTGATAATAATGTGGATTTACAGCGGCTTAAAGCGACACAAGTGAAGGAGCTGCAACATTTTTATTTCTCCATAATCCAGTTTTACGACACCTTCTTTGTTGTCAACGGAAATCAACTGACCAGTATTTTCACGATCCTCTCCAGCTATAACTTTCACTTCGTCACCTGTCTGCGGGACAACAGGTTCAAGGTAATCGCATTCCAGCTCTACAATCCGATCTTCTTCTGGCAGGAACAGGCTGCACATGCCACTTCCCTCCTAGAGAAAGAAGCAAAGTTTAATATGTTGCAAGAGAAAAAAAAGAAAAAAAGAAAGAAAGAAAAAGAAAAAAATTCACTACTGATGATTTTAACAATTGAAGCATTGTTCCAGCAGTATTCAAGTAATAATAATAAAAGCGGTTCTGAGCTACCTCTTCTCATAGAAAAAAAAAGAGGTAGTCGGATTTCCGGCATCTTGGGTTTCCTTGATGACGTAGGAGGGTAAAGACACATTTTTTCATCGATTTCCTTGGAAATGATTTAATTTATGAAAAAAAAGCATTTTACATGACGTTTTTGAAATTATATTTTAAATTGTATTCAGCGAAAAAAAAAAAAACGGACGTTATGGTCCATTTTCCGTACTTTTAATTTCAGGTTTTTCTAAAATAACAACCCCACATTGTGCCCACCTACGCCTCAGGGTGAAAAACTTGTAAAGTGCAACCACCTGCTTTTTTCCCAATATTTCGTCGAAAAAAATACTAGCACACGAGAAAATTACTTCATTGAAAAGTATGCCAAAATTAGGGTAGTGCTCAATTTGAGTCAAGTAGACTTAGGTTTTACGAGAGCAGGAAAAGTGAATTGACAAACACAAGAAACACTATTTTCTCACTTTGCCGTTCCCCCGCTGAAGGAACGTAAGTTGATTCCAAGGTTGCCAAGTTCCCCTGTTCAATTGCTAAACGGCAGACCCAGGCTTCCTCAATCTGTTAAATGAGCATCATTTAGACTGTAACCTTTAATCATGCGCTTTGATCCTTTCTTTGCAATAGTTCCTTTTCTAATATTTCTAATGTTCGCTCACTGTTTCACAAT